GTTGGTCGCTCGCGGTTTTTTCCGATCGAATCCCCCTCCTCGGCCTGAGCCTCCTCCTCGATCTCCCCCTGGTCTGCGGCCAATTCGTGAGCTTTCGGATTCTTTCGTGCCGATGCCTCGACGCTCCCGTCGTTCGAGGCCTCCTCGGCCGCCGTAGGGAATTCGGGTCTGTATGGAGTGGTGCCCATCACCCCCCTCGCTGGCATCCCCCAGCTTCGGGCGGGTCGAGGGCCTCAGATGGTGTCCCCATCAGCAGCGCCCGCTGGTGAGGGAAGTTGCGGATTCACCGCCACTCAGATGCTACTTTTTAGCTCCTCTGCCGTCAGACAGTGGACAGCATCCGAGAGTCCTTGCTTGCTTGCTTGCTCCTCCTCCTCCTCCTCCTCCTCCTCCTCCACCTCCACCTCGTCCACCTCCCGCTCCCCCTCGTCCTCCTCGTCCTCCTCCTTCTCCTCCTCCTCCTCCTCATCATCATCCTCCTCCTCCTCCTCCTCCTCAGCACCATCATCCTTCTCCTCCTTGTCCTCCTCCTCCTCATCTTCCTCGTCCTCCTCATCCTCCTCCTCATCCTCCTCCTCATCATCCTCCTCATCCTCATACCTCGTCCCTCCTCCTCCTGTTCCTCCTCCTCCTCACCTGCTCCTCCTAATTCCTCCGCCTCCTACCCTGGTCCATCCCGGTCCCTCCCCGAGATCCCTCTACCCTCCATCCTCCTCCTCCTCCTCCTCCTCCTCATCCTCCTTCCTCCTTCTCCTCCTCCCCCTCCGCTTCCACCTCCAGGTCCCTCCCTGCGCTTCCTCCTCCTACGGTCTCCTCCTCCGCTCCCTCCTCCTCCTCCTCCTCCTCCGCCACCTCCCTCCATCCTCCTCCTCCTCCTGCCGTCCTCCTCCTCCTCTCCTCCTCCTGCTCCTCCTCCTCCTCCTCCTGCTCCTCCTCCTCCTCCTCCATCACCACCTCCTCCTCCTCCGCATCATCATCATCACCATCAGCATCGTCATCGTCATCAACATCATCATCAGCATCAGCAGCATCATCATCATCATAATCAGCAGCAGCATCATCAGCATCATCATCGTCAGCAGCAGCATCATCAGCATCATCATCATCATCATCACCCTCATCAGCATCAACATCAACATCATCATCATCATCATCATCATCATCATCATCATCATCATCATCATCATCATCATCATCATCATCATCAGCATCAGCATCATCATCATCATCAGCATCATCATCATCATCATCGTCATCATCATCATCATTATCATCATTATCATCATTATCATCACCATCATCGTCATCATCAGCAGCATCATCATCATCAACATCATGATCATCATCAGCAGCAGCACAATCAGCATCATCATCATCATCATCATCATCAGCAGCACCATCATCATCATCATCAGCATCATCATCATCAGCATCAGTATCCGCATCGGCATCATCATCATAATCCGCATCAGCATCAGCACCATCATCGCCATCATCATCAGCGTCAGCATCAGCATCACCATCAGCATCATCATAATCATCGTGAGCAGCATCATCATCATACTCCTCATCATCATCAGCAGCAGCATCATCGGCATCATCAGCATCATCATCAGCATCATCAGCATCATCGTCATCTGCATCATCATCATCATCATCATCATCATCATCATCATCATCAGCAGCAGCATCATCAGCATCATTATCATCTTCTTTCTCTTCCTCTTCCCTCTCCCCCTCCCCCTCCTACTCCTCCTCCTCCTCCTCCTCCTCCTCCTCCTCCTCCTCCCCCTCCTCCTCCTCCTCATCATCATCAGTCTCCTCCTCGTCCTTCTCCTCCTCCTCCTCCTCCCCCTGCCCCCTCCTGCTTCTCCTCCTCCTCCTCCTCCTCCTCCTCATCCTCATCCGTCTCCTCCTCCGCCTCCTCCCCTTCTCCTCCTCCTCCTCCTCCGCCTCCATCTCCCCCTCCTCCTCCCCTCCTCCTCCTCCTCCTCCTCTCCTCCCTTCCTCCTTCTCTCTGGCCCTCCTCCTCCTCCCCCTCCTGCTTCCCCTCCTCCTCCTCCTCTTCTCCTCCCCCTCCTCCTCCTCCTCCTCCTCCTCCTCCTCCTCCGCCTCCTCTCACCCTCCACCCTCCTTATTCTGCCTCCTCCTCCTCCTCCTCCTCCTCCTCTCCTCCTCTTCCCTGCCTCCCTGCTTCTCCCCCTCTACCTCCTCCTCCTCCTCCTATTCCTCATCTCCTCCTCTCCTCCTCCTCCTCCTCCTCCTGCTCCCTCCTCCTCCCCCTCCTCCTCCGCCTCCTCCTCCTCCCCTCCCTCCTCCTCCTCCTCATCATCATCTTCCTCCTCCTCCTCGTCCTCCTCCTCCTCCACCTCCTTGTCCTTCCTCCCCCCCACTCCTTGGGCAAAGCGAAAATGCAGCAATACATCTGCGCCCCAAAATCCGCCGACGCTGTCGGCGTATGTGAAGGGCTTGTCCGTTCAAGTCGTCATCTCCGTCATTCGTTGGTCGTCGTCTCTGTCGTCCCCTTTCCCTGCCTCCCCCCTTTCCCTGGGCTCGTTGAAGCTCCCCCTTTTCCCAGGGACATCCTCATCCAGCCAGCCAAAGCGAAATGCAGCAACGTCGTAATTGAGTCGAAGGGAAGCCCCTTCCCTTCGATCCCTCCCCCGCATGGGGGGGGGGTCCCCGGGGGGGTCCCGGGGAGGGTCCCGGAAGGGGGGGGGGGTCAGATACGACGTGTGAGTCCCGGAGCCCAAAGACAATCCAAGAGAACCCCGAATCGCCTTGGCAGCCTCCAGACGGCCCCAGAGGCCTGCAAAGCGCCCCAAGAGGCTCTAGGAGCTTTCCCACGAGAGCCCCAAGAGGCAAAAATCATTGATTTCCCATACGTGTGTGAAAGATGTTGGCGTTCTTGCCTCTTCCGCTTCCCGACGCGCCACGCCCCAAGAGGCTCACAAGATCGCCCCGATACGGCCCAAGAGGCCCCCAAGAGGGTCCCCTAACGGCCGAAGAGGGTCCCAAGACGGCCCAAGACGCCTCCAAGACGGACCAAGAGGCCCCCAAGACGGCTCCAGGAGAGTGCGCAGACGGGGGACCCGAACGGACATTTCGAGATCTCAACCCCAAGAGGCCCCGAAGAGGCCCCCAAGAGGCCCCGAAGAAGCCCCAAGAGGCTCCAAGAGGCTCCTAAGGGGCCCCCAAACTGCCCCAAGACAACCCAGGAGAGCCCCAAATTGCCCAGGAGGCCTCCAAGAGTGCCTCGAGACGGCGCAAGAGGAGCCCTGGACGGCCCAAGACGGCCTCAAGAGAGCCCCAGGCTGTCCCAGGAAAGCATCTGGCCTACTCCTCCTCCTCCTCCTCCTCCTCCTCCTCCTCCTCCTCCTCCTCCTCCTCCTCCTCCTTATATATATATATATGTGTATATATATGTATATATATATATATATATATGTATTGCACGCCCCAACTGTATTGCAACCCCGCAAAACTGTTGCACCAAATCTATTGCACCACCCCCTTGTCGCTGGACCCCCTTTTGGGTCAACCCGACCCTCCTCCTCATTTCGGCGGTGGATACACCTCCCTTTAGTAACCTCCCCTTTGTGAAAACGACCTGGGACCGAAACCGACGGACCTGGACCCGCAGAAATGACGGCCGCGACGCCCTCTCGCGAACCGAAATCGGCCAATTCACCAATCGACGTGTCAGGGTAGGAGGTCTATCAATTCAAGGCCTGGAAATGGGCACCAACACCAAAATCGGCGGTGTCCCTCCATTGGCGGAAGATGATCCTCGATTTCGGTGTTGGTGGTAATATTTCGGTCACCTTGGAAGCCTGAATAGTACCACCATCGCCGAGATCGGGATCTTCTTCCCTCGGTGGAGGCACACCGCCGATATTGGTGTTGGTGTCAACCTCTAGGCCTGCGAATCAACCTCCCCTCCTCCTCCCCCTCGGTCGCCGCTGGTCCTGCGGCCGCACCCGCCCGGGGAGCGAGGGCGCCGCAACTCTGCTCACGCCGGGCGCCTCCCCGGAGCTCCCCAAAACTCCGCCGCCACGACCTCTGCTCGAATCGGGAGCTCGATTCTTTTAAGACGATGCCAGGACGGGGATCAATTCGGGTGAGGAGGAATCGAGAATCTCTGAAGTCTGGCGGCTCTGGAGGACGTCTCGGGCGTCGCGGCCTTCTCAGAGCGTTCCGGAAGGCTCTGCAAGCGCTCCAGAACGCTCTGGAACGGATTTGTCCTCGTCATAGCCCGGTCCGATTCCTCGATTTCGGGGGGTCATTCTCGGGCACCTGGCCCAACAAAAACGGATCCGGAGCAGGGGGCAGGGGAGAAGGAAGAGGGGGCGGAGGAGGAGGAGGAGGAGGAGGAGGAGGAGCAGTTTGAGGAGGAGAAGACTGAGGAGGAGGAGGAGGAGGCGGAGCAGGAGTAAGAGGGAGGAGGAAGTGGAGGAGGAGCGGAAGGAGAAAGGGGGTGGAGGAAGGGGGGGCGCCGCTTGGGAAAAAAAAGTCGGCGAATTTGACTCACACTTCTTGCGCTGGCGTAACGGATTCTACCCACACGGGATGTCTTCGTCTGGTCGCAGGTGGCCGGGGCCCTCACGGAGCGGTCCGGCCCGAAAAAATGCAGCCGAAGACGGGGTCGGGGGCTCTGGCCGTGACTTCCCACGGTGTAAGATCCTGTCCTGCGGCGCCAGACTTCTCCGGGAGGAGGCAGCCCTCCTTCGGACCGTCGAATGCCTCCGAAGGTGGAGCAGAGGCAGGCCTCCAGGAGGTCCCTGGAGGCCTCCTGGAGCCCAGGAGAGGCCAGAAACGCGCACTTCCCCCTCCCTCCTCTTCGCTGACAGCGACCAAGCCAGGTCGGCTTCGCGATCCACACATCCTGCTCGTCCTCTCCCTCCATCTCCTCCTTCCTCATCGTCCGCATTCTCCTCCACCGTCTCAACCTCCTCCTCATCCTCCTCCATCGTCCCATCAAGCCGAGACTGCCATCAGTCCTATATCGCACCAGGGAACGGCCCGACTCGGCCTTGCTGGTGGCGGCCGAGAGATAGCCCAGCACCAGCTTCACCGCCTCTGTCTTGCCAGCGCCAGATTCTCCACTCACCAGCACAGCCTGGCGACCCCTCCTCCTGTTGGCCCCAGTCCTGCTTCTCCTCCTCTTCATTCTTCTCCTCCTCCTCCTCCTCCTCCTCCTCCAACTCGTGATTGCAAGATCCTGACGGCTGGCAAGTCCTCCGCACGTAGCCCTCCTCCTCCTCCTCTTCTTCTTTCTTCTTCTTATTCTTCGTCCTCCTCCTCCTTCTCCTCCTCCTCCTCCGCCTCCTGCGACACAGATTGACGACAACAGAGGGGTCAGTGAACATGGCCCCTACAGCTGCAGTACGCTCGAGATCCTTTTCCTCTTCCTCCTCCTCCTCCTCCTCCTCCTCTTCCTCCTCCTCCTCCTCCTCCTCCTCCTCCTCCTCCTCCTCCTCCTCCTCCTCCTCCTCCTCCTCCTCCTCCTCCTCCTCCACGTCTCATTACTGAACCCGTCGTAGAAGGCTATATGCTGGGCCTGGGAGGGGGGGGGGGGGCTCCGCGCTCGATGCGGACACGAGGAGTCCCAGCAGCTCGGGAAACCCGCCGGTTCATGCTCGGAGCCTACGAACCCGACGAGCAGGGCTCCCTCCGCAAGCGGGAGGAACGCCACCCGAGGAGGTCAGTACGCGTCCAGGAGGAGGGCGAGGAGAAAGAGGAGAGCGAGGAGGAGGGCGAGGATGGGAGGGGGGGATATGAGGGGGAGGACGAGCGTTGCCAGCCGAGAGCTTTGAGGGGGTGGCATCATGCAAAACCTTCTGAGGTTCAGCGAGGCGGACCCCAAACTCTCCTCGCCGAAGCAGCCGTCGAGATGCCGCCCGCACTCGCGGGGCGTCTGCCGCAGCCTGCCCTCCACGGAAAGCCGAACCGTGCCAGCGCAGCGGGGCAGGGCCTAGATCCGGACACCCAGCATCCCTCGTCAACCAATTCTTCCAGACCGCGGCACGAACAAAATTCTGCACTGCAGCGCTTCCAGAATAAACCCCGACACGGGCCCCAAAAGCCTGCAAGACCCCCCGAAACCCGGACCCAAACCCGAATCCTGCAGTGCAGCAAACAAAAAATGCACGGGAGCTGAAAAGGATGGGCTATCTTTACGTGGTTTTCCGAGTCCAAGGTGTCGTTTCATTGGTTTTCCGTTTCCTGGTTTATACACGTTGTTCAGTTCTTGTTCCTGGCCCCCTAGTGGCCAGGACGAGGCCCAGGATAGAACAAGTAGAAGTGAAAGGATCTTGGCCCCCAAAAACCAAACAACCTTCGAAGAATTAGAAATGAATAATGTGTGTATGTGTCCTGGTCTCCGGGGGCCTGAGGCTCGGACAGGGCCGATGTGCCGCAGCTGGCGCCCAGTCGAACAAGAGACTCTTCCTGAGGAACTTAGGCACTGACGGCGGTATTGGACAGGCGCGTTCCACTACTCGCAAATCAACTACTCGCAAATTGCCTGGATCCACCGCGGGGGATTTACGATATATTACAGAGAGGAAGACCTGTATACTTCGGACGTTTGCGAGTAGGCACTTTGCGGGTAGTGGAACGCGCTCGGTGAGATAGAGTCTCCCGACGGCGTTGATCAAACTAGTGAGCCGAGTGAATGTTATCACCAGCTGGTAGGTTACACTGTAGAAGGTGGGACAGCCACGGACAGCAGGACGTGGAGGCAATAGAAGAGGAGGAAGGTGATCACAACGTCGGCAGGGAAGTGGGGCTCCTCCTCCTCCTCCTCCTCCTCCTCCTCCTCCTCCTCCTCCTCCTCCTCCTCCTCCCCCTCCCTCTCCACCTCCTCCCCCTCCTCCTCCTCCTCCGCCTCCTCCCTCCTCCTCCCTCCACCTCCTCCTCCTCCTCCCCCTCCTCCTCCTCCTCCTCCTCCTCCTCCTCTCCTCCTCTACTCCTCCTCCTCCTCCTCCCCCCCCTCCACCCTCCTCCTCCATCCCCCTCCCCCCCCCCTCCTCCTCCTCCTCCCTCCTCCTTCCTCCTCCTCCTCCTCCTCCTCCTCCTCCTCCTCCTCCTCCTCCTCCCCTCCTCCCACCTCCTCCTCCTCCTCCCCTCCTCCTCCTCCTCCTCCTCCTCCTCCACCTCCTCCTCCTCCTCCTCCCCCTCCTCCTCCTCCTCCTCACTCCTCCCTCCTCCTCCTCCTCCTCCTCCCCTCCTCCTCCTCCTCCTCCTCCACCTCCTCTCCTCCTCCTCCTCCTCCTCCCCTTCCTCCTCCTCCTCCCTCCTTCCAGCCACGGCCCAAGCCTGCCCCCCCAACACCTCCGACGACCCGACAGTACAGCTCGAGCCGCGCGCGCGCGCCGCCCCCGTCGAACCCCCATCCCCCTGGGGGGGGGGGAGGATCCCCCCCCCCGGGGGTGGGGGGAGGAGGGAGGAGGAGGGAGGAGGAGGAGGAGGAGGAGGAGGAGGAGGAGGAGGAGGACGAGGAGGAGGGAGGAGGAGGAGGAGGAGGAGGAGGAGGAGGAGGAGGAGGAGGAGGAGGGGGCGGGTTGCTGCTCACCCCCCCAATCGGAAGCATGCAGACCAGGATTGGCGATCCATAGATCTGGCGCGCGGTCGCTGAGTCCATGGATCGGGGGGAGGTGCCCTCCCCAAAAATGCGGCCGGTGCCGCCCCGTTCGGTAGCGGAATCCGCGATTTCCCATGGAAACGGGACCCGTCGCTAATCCACGCCCCATTAATCCATGTTTGCGATCGCCTGACCCAAGGCCACGCTCACGGCGATGTTGGTTAACGGCGATGTTGGGAATCTGGTATTTGCGACGCCGAACTCGCGTAGAGCGAACCGTGGGAAAACACGAACAAGCCGGAACTGCAAGTAGGTTGGCCACGGAGCACCCCCCCCTACAATACCGAGGCAAGCAGGGTGCTCCTTGGCAGGGGCTTCCACTGCGCGAAGGGCCGCCAGCGCGATGCCTTCCAGCCGAAGTCGGGCCGGGCGAAAGGGGGGGATAGCAAAGGGGGGGTTGAGAATCAGCTCACGTAACTGATTTTCCCGGCGCCTCCCAGCGCCGGGAGGCGTCCATGTATCGAGGAATGGGCGCCTCGGCGGGGCCGAAACCGGCTGCATGCAGCAAATTTTGTAACCCCCCTTTCCCAATCCCCCCCTTCCGTCCGGCCCGACGAAGGGACAAGAAGCAGACGAGCCACAACAGAAGCATGAGCGGAACTCTCGGAGCGGCGGTGGCCTCCGAGCAGGAGGACCCCGCGCTGCGCCGCCCGCCCGCCCGCCCCTCGCGCGGAGCGCGTGCCAGGGAGAGGGGCTCCGGCGGCGCCTTCAGAGGGAGGGGGAGGAGGGAGGAGGAGGAGGAGGAGGAGGAGGAGGAGGAGGAGGAGAGGAGGAGGATGGAGGGGAGGAGGAGGAGGAGGAGGAGGAGGAGGGGAGGAGGGGGAGGAGGAGGAGGAGGAGGAGGAGGGAGGAGGAGGAGGAGGAGGAGAGGAGGAGGAGGAGGAGAGTTGAGGAGGAGGAGGAGGAGGATCGGCGCCCCGGGCGCGGCGCTCCGCGAGCCCTGGAGGCCTGATGTCCAGCGCCCATCTGACGGCATCCGCGCGGACCTCCGAACCTTTCTATGTCTACTCAAGTCGTGGAGGCACTACAGGATCGATTGTCCCCAGAATTGGATCCTTCGCGGAATCCATGGAAATTCGGCGTCTTGTTTGTAGATTCGGGGAGGAATTCAATTCTGGGGTGCACCACTTCTAAAAGGTCGATCCCCTACTCGAAGTGTGCCGATCTGTCTCCTCCAGGATCCCACCACCCGGACCCACCCGAACCCAGCCGTGGCCGAGGGGGCTCCCAGGGAGGCCCGGGAAGCACTGAAACCGTCCAACCACCTCGATCGCCGAAATCCTCGATCGAGACTGCGACGACGACGGCGACGGCGCCACCCACGGGAGTCCACTCAAGACCAGTGCACACACGGAGGAGGAGGAGGAGGAGGAGGAGGAGGAGGAGGAGGAGGAGGAGGAGGAGGAGGAGGAGGGGCAGGATGAGGAGGAAGGAGGAGGAGGAGGAGGAGGAGGAGGAGAAGGAGAAGGAGGAGGAGGGAGGGAGGGAGGAGGAGGAGGAGGAGGAGGACTGCAGGAGGACTGGAGGATGAGGAGGAGGACCCCTCTCAGGGCTCATCCTGGCCAGCTTCCCGATCCGCGAGCAGGCCGTGGCCGCCAGGACCTCCGGGAGCGCCCCCCAACAAGACCCTCACTCTCCTCGACCCCGACGCCGACGACGTCGATGTGGGCACGACGACGACGACGACGGCGACGGCGACGACGACGGCGACGACGACGGCGGCGACGTCGACGACGACGACGACGACGACGACGACGACGACGACGACGACGGCAAAGGGCATGCACGGGGCCTGGCTCGGGCGGCGGGGCTCGCGGAGGCCCTGCAGGGCTGCTCGACCGATGCCGTAGACGTGGGCCTCCGCTGCCGCCGCCGCCGCCGCCGCTCTGCGGCGCCGTCGCCGGCGACGACCTCCGCAGTCGCGGTCGTGGCCGTGGCCGTCGCTGTCGTCGCCGTCGCCGCAGTCATCGCCTGTGCGGGGAGGATTCGGAGGACGAGGGGGAGGGCGATGACGAGAATGCGAGCGCGTACGCAGGGGACGGCGTGGTTCGAATGTGGCTCGGGCGCGACTCGGGGCGTGGTGTTCGAGCGTGCTTCGGGCGTGGTTCGCGCGTGGCTCGGGGGTGGTTCGGGAGGGGGTCGGGCGTGGTTCGCGGTCGCAGCCGTTGTCGCCGTCGTCGTCGCCGTCGCCGCCGTCACCATCTTCGTTGCTGTCTCCGCCGCCGCCGTGGACGCCGTCGATCCGATGGTCGGCCACTGGGGGCCGAGGCCTAGGAAGCTACAAATCGGGCGGGGTGATTGACCCCACCTCGGGCCTCTGGGGGCTCGGGAGACCTCCGAGGGGTCTGCAGGGACTCCAGAGAAACCCTCGGAGGCGGAGGTCGTCGTTGTCGTCGCCGCCAGCGGCCGCCTCCTTCCCCCCTCCGGCTCCCCCCCTCTCCTCCTCCCACCCCTGGCAGGGAGGAGGAGGATAAGGAGAAGGAGGAGGAGGAGGAGGAGGTGGAGGAGGAGGAGGAGGAGCCGGCCGTAGGTGTGGGCCTCCGCCGGCTTCTCCACCGACTGGATGTACCTGCGCAGCGAGTCCTCCTGTCGGCGTTGCCGTGCTCTCGCTTTGGCAACGAAGACCAAGACAGGGATCTCACGCCGTTTTCAGCCTCTCGGGACCGTTCTCTGACTCATGGGATTCATGGACCATAACACATGAAACCATGACATACAAACGATCTGGAATCAGCGAGAGAGGATCGGTGTAATCACGCAGCGAGTCCTCCTCTTGGCGGCGAGGATCGAGGATCGGGGTCCTGGACATGTGTTGCCTTGTCTCCCGAAGCTGCATGTCTGGAAGGATCCTGTGCATGAGCATCCTCATAACTTTGAGCACGATGGAAGCAGCATGGTGGGTGCATCGCGCGACCCGAACAAAAAACGCAGCTCGTGGTCTCTGGCCGCGGTCTCTGGTCGTGGGTGCATCGCGCGACCCGGAGATTGGCGGCGCGCACAAGGGGGTGGGGGGAGGGCGGAGGGCTTCTTAGGAGGAGGCTGTATCTTAGAAACTGCGGGCCTCAGATTTACAGACAAGGCCCGCGCCTTCTGAGAAGCAGGGGTGCTTCTAAGGAGCCTTCCCTCTACCCCTACCCCCCTCCTAGAGGCCTCCTAGATGGGGTCCGAGTAGATGGGGTCGGAAGATCCCGCCGCATCGCCGATGCATCGGCGATGCATCGGCGATGCATCCGTGATGCATCGGCGGTGCATCGGCGACGTCGGCGGTGCGTCGGCGACGTCGGCGTGGAGTAAATCGGGCTCTGCATCGAGCCGCATCGGCGATGTATCAACGATGCGGCGCGATCGGCCGACCCCGTCAGTTCGGACCCCATCCATAGGAGGCTGGGACCTCTGCGCATTATGGGCCCTGGAATCGACAGGGCCGTTTTTTTTGCCGGTTCCGTTTTGCCGTTTTTTTGCCGGTTCCGACGCCGTTTTTTTACCGGTTCCGTCGCCGTTTTTTGACCCGTTCCGGCCCCGGTTCCAGTCCTGGAGCCGTTTTTTTGCCGCTTCCGGTCGCCGTTTTTCTGCCGCTTCTTCACTTTCAAGGGACACTTGTTTGGGAAACGGTGAAACAACGGCCTGCCCTGCCGTTCCCGGGGCCCACTCAGGCCGACACGTACGCGGGCAGCCTGTCCCGTGAGTGCGGCAATGAACCAGGGGCGACGCAGTGCCGACCCGCACGCGACCCACCCCGCGACCCACCCCGCGACCACCCCCGCGACACACCTCGCGACCCACCCGCGACACAACCCGCGACCCTCCCGCGACCCACCCCGCGACCCACCCGCGGCCCACCCGCGACCCACCCCGCGACCCACCCGCGGCCCACCCCGCGACCCATCCGCGACGAATGCGCGCGGCGCTAAGGCGAGAGCCGCCTCTGGCCATCACTCACGGCGCAATTGAGCCGCCTCTGGCCGCTGGCCTCCGGTCGTGGCCCCCCCCCCCCCCGGCGGCTGCTCCGGCCGCGCGGCCCCGGGGGGGGACCCGCCGGGGCCTCCGCTCGTGGCCTCGTGGCCTCTCCCGTGGTGGTCTCGGGTCGCGGGCACGCGCGGTCTCTGCTCGAGAGCTGGGGTCGTGGCCATCCTCCTCCTCCTCCTCCTCCTCCTCCTCCTCCCTCGCCATCCTCCTCCATTTCCTCCTCCTCTCTCCTCCTCCTCTCCTCCTGCTCATCCTCCCTCCTCGCCATCCTCCTCCTCCTCCTCCTCCTCCTCCTCCTCCTCCTCCTCCTCCTCCTCCTCCTCCACATCCTCCTCGCCATCCTCCTCCTCCTCCTCCTCCTCCTCCTCCTCATCATCATCATCATCAGCAGCAGCAGCATCATCAACAACATCAGCATCAACATCACCATCATCATCAGCATCATCATCATCATCATCATCATCATCAGCATCATCATCATCATCATCATCCTCGCCATCCGCCTCCTCCTCCTCATCATCATCACCAGCATCATCAGCATCAGCATCAGCATCAGCATCAGCATCAGCATCAGCATCAGCATCAGCATCAGCATCAGCATCATCATCATCATCATCATCATCATCATCATCATCATCATCATCATCATCATCATCATCATCATCATCATCATCATCATCATCATCATCATCTCCTCGCCGTCCTCCTCTCCCTCTTCCTCGCACTCTCCCCTCCCTGGTGTCCCTCGTCGCCATCCTGCTCCCCCCTCTCACAGGGCACTCCAAGTCGGGGTCTGACCATCCCTTCAGGAGCGGAGGAAGGACGTACACGTACATGAATCTCTGAGAAGAAAACGGCAAAAAAAATCTGCTCTCTGCCCTGGTATGGCCACCCTTCGGGTGATACGGGGATATGTGGGGTGGCAACTGATGACAATCAAACAATCGGTCTCAATCGATCTTACGATTGATGTTTCCATCGGTACGGTAGCCCTATCGTTACATCAGTCTCACGATCAATCGATCTCACTATCCATCTCACAATCGATCCCGCTGTCTTTGTACTGATATGACTATCGACCGGTCTCACGATCCATCGATCTCACAATTTATCATTTACGACCACCCTTTGGGTGATAAAGAGGCTGCGGGGAGCAACGATCCAACTGATGGAAGTTGCGATGATTGTGATGGTGGCGATGCTGGTGATGCGCTAACAGAGTGACGACGGTGCAAGATCACGATGCTGACGGCAATGCGTCATGGCAATGTGCTGACACATTGGCGATGCTGGCGAAAAAACATGATGGCGATGACGAAGGGACACCGACGGGACACCACGGCGGGACACACCCGGCCACCGCCCGCGGACACCGACTTGACACCGACGGGACACCACGGCAGGACACCACGGCGGGGCCCCCCCCAGCCGCGCCGACCCACCAGGGGGGCGGTCTCTTGTTATGACCCGCCCTAGCCACGGCGGGGTCATTCCTCTCGCCCGCCCACGCACTTTCGCCTCGCCCGCACGCACGACACGAACCCGAAACCGAAACCGATGTCCTGGCTTGGGCCTCCCTGTTTCACTTTGATATCACCCCCAAAGCTCCGATCTACCTAGCCATCCATGGCACGGGACAAACATCGGGACAACCATCAGGACAACCATCGGGACAACCATCAGGACAACCATCGGAACAGCATCGGGGCATCATCGGGGCACCAGGGGGGCACCATGGGGGCACCATCGGGACACCGTCGAGAACCCATCGGGAAACCATGTGGATACCATCGGGACGCCATCGGGACACCATCACCATCAGGATGCCAGCAGGGGGACACAGCATCATTTGGCCTGGTTTCGCCCTAGCAACGGCGGGTTCACTCCTTTCGCACGCGCACGCAGCTTCGCCTCGCCCGCACGCGCGACAAGAACACGAAACCAAAACCGACTTCCCGGTGGGGGGTCTCCGTTTCACTTCTATCTCACCCCACAACCTCCGATGAAATACGGTAGAAATTCATGCTTTCGTGTTCTGAATTACTCCCTGTGATGGTCTGTCTTATCTCTGGGAAACTATTTGGGGTCTTCTGCGGCCAAGGTTGGAATTGATAAGAACTCCGCTGGAGCCTCTACAGGCCTCCGCGCACCTTCAGAGACCTCGAGACCTCCAGAGGCCTCCTCTGGCGATCTGGGCACGACGACGACAACGACGACGAGGACGAGGACGACGACGACGACAACGTCTTTGGCGCCGCGGCCTTCTCAGAGCGTCCCGCAACGATCTGAGAGCGCTCTGGAACGGACTCGTCCTCGTCCGAGCCCCGCCCGAATGAGGCCAGTGCCGTCTCACTCGGCGACAGCGCGCGCCGATGATGGTGCACGGAAACGGGGCCCGTCGCTAGCCCACACGCCCGAAGCCGTGTCTTAGCGCTCCCTCGACACGGACCCGTCGCGAAACTGGCTCCCCCGGGCCCCCCTCCCGGGGGCCCACCTCGCCTGGCCAGCCCGGCCACGCGCCCGGCCGAGGGCCTCCAGGGGTCGCGACGCCAAGAAAACCTCCGCCTCCGGCGACGACGCTGCAGACGACGACGCCGCCGAAGACGCCGCGGACGACGCCGCCGACGACGACGACGCCGCCGCCGACGACGCCGCCGACGAAGCCGCCGACGCCGACGAGGACGCCGACGCCGACGAGGACGCCGCCGCCGACGACGCCACCCGCACAGAAGACTCCTCCTCCGACGCCGACGCCACCGACGCCAGCCTCGCCAGGCAAGAGCCGAGCCCCGCAGGGGCGGCGGCGGCGTGCCGCTCTCCCCGCCTGGGGGGGCCGCATGCGAGCCCTGCCCCACCCTCCCCCTCGGACATCGTGTGGGGAGGAGGAGGAGGAGTAGGAGGAGGAGGAGGAGGAGGAGGAGGAGGAGGAGGAGGAGGAAGAGGGGGAGGAGGAGGAGGAGGAGGAGGAGGACGAGGAGGAGGAGGCGGGGAGGAGGAGAGGGGAGGAGGAGGGAGGAGGGGGAGGAGGAGGAGGAGGAGGAGGAGGAGGGGGGGAGGAGGAGGGAGGAGGAGGAGGAGGAGGAGGAGGAGGAGGAGGAGGAGGAGGAGGAGGAGGAGGAGGAGGGAGGTAGGAGGAGGAAGGAGGAGGAGGAGGAGGAGGAGGAGGAGGAGGAGGAGGAGGAGGAGGGGGGAGGAGGAGGAGGAGGAGGAGGAGGAGGAGGAGGAGGAGGAGGAGGCCCAGGGCTCGCATGTGGCCCCCTACCGCCGCGGGCGGCGGGGAAGCGCACGGGGCCGCCGGCCGGCGAGGGCAACGGCGCGCTGCCGCTCGCGGGCGGCCGCGCCCACCGCGCTCGGGGGGCCAGGCGCCGGGGCCGTCCTCGTAGATGGCCAGGGCCTTGAACGGGTTCACCTCTGGAGCGCCAGGAGCCCAAGCCCCCTCGAGCGAGGAACAGAATCACGGCGGCGAACTCTTCATCAATGTGCGACCTCTGCGGGCCCCTGCCGGGCCTCGGGACCGTCGAAAAACGACTCGGGATGAAGGACCGGTCCCGGGGAACGGGTCGGGACCTCTGGGGGTCGACGTCATGAACAAACCATGACGTCGGGGGTCTGGGAGGCGTCGTCGTCGAGCGGGGGTTGGATGCGCCGAAGACGGGGGCCAGGAAGAGGGGGAGGGGCAGGCGAAGCAGAGCCACGAGAGCGTGGGCCAAGAGCACGAGCACCTTCCCTGCGCCGAGAGTCCAAGAACCGTTAGGATACCAAAGACGACGGCGATTCCCTGGTGGAGAGCCAAGACAGGAAGAGACCACCGCCCCTGCGCACCTCCGAGACGCGACACCGCAGACAGGGGAGAGAATGGAGGGGCAAGGAGGGCCTGCTGGGCAACCCGATCGAGCTGGTGACTGGGACCTCGCCGTCGCTGGGACGCCAATGCCCCGTGCATGTTTCGAGCTCGTGCGTCTTCTGTGCCGCAGAATGCTCCAGGATGCTCCTCGAGGGTCCTCGCCGAGAAAAAGTGCACACGTCCGAGCGATGCCGAGGTCATGCGTCTGAGTATCGTTTATCCGATCCCCATCCCCAGCGGCGTGACCTGGGCCCCACTGGCCGATCTCCCCACCTGGATGGGGATATATACACCGTCCACTTCGGGTTTCGAGGGGTGCAGCCCCAACTGGGGGGGTAATAAGGTGGATGTCTCGAAGGGGATGGGGATGGGGATGGTAGGGAAACGAACTCTACACACCGACGTGTTTCCCGACCCTGCGCTGAAATTCGCACAGGAACGCGGATTATGGTGTATACGGGACCCTGGTGTATACATGTTTCGTTGTTTTTTTTCCCAGGGAACGGATCAAAAACTATACACCACACCGCCCCGACGTCGCCCCCGACCCTCAAAAAAACCGGGGATTGAAACACAGCCCACCACTGGTAATGCATACGTGCCAGTTTCCGAGATCGGGATCGGCGAAACGATACCGAAGAGTGCGCACGTCCGAGAGCGATGCCGAGGCCAATGCTTCGGGCTGCGCACGGGCAGCCTCCCGAGGGCAGGCCCCAGGCTGGCCTTGACAGGGAGGAGGAGCAGGAGGAGGAGGAGGAGGAGGAGGAGGAGGAGGAGGAGGAGGAGGGGGAGAGGAGAAGGGAGGAGGGGGGGGGGGAGGAGGGGGAGGTGGAGCAGGAGGGGACGGGGGGGGAGGAGGAGGGGAGGAGGAGGGAGGAGGAGGAGGAGGAGGAGGTGGGGGGAGGAGGAGGAGGATGGAGGAGGAGGAGGAGGAGGAGGAGGCCCCAGCTCCAGGGGTGGGTGTGGCGGCCGCCCCAGACAGCTCGGGGGGCCCGTGGAGGCCCGCCGGGACCACCTGCAGGGGTGCTGTCTGCGCGCAGCCGAGCTTCTCACCCAGAAGCCACGAGGAACGCCAGTCACAGACTTCTGGCGCTCGGCGCGGGCTTCTTGGATCTGCGCTGGAGCCCCCTCCCTGGCGCGCGGAGCGCGCCAGGGGCGGCGCCGGAGGCGCCGCCGGGGGGCCCCAGCGCGGATCCAAAAAATCCGCTCGGGGCGCCAAGAGTCTATGTTTATGACGAGTTGTCTTCTTCGGTTACCAGGTCGCGCACGCAATGCCCTGGCCCCCCTGTGACCGAGATGAGGATGTTCGACACGTGCGTGTAGATGAGGTCCCTGCTGTACCGCAGCCGGACGCCATGCAGCAGCACCGCCCTGCTCACGTTCGGCAGGCAGCAGATGTCCTCCACACACTCCAGCTCGGAGGCGTGCACCTGCACGACGCAGGAGGAGGAGGAGGAGGAGGAAGAAAAGGAGGAGGAAAAGGAGGTGGAGGAGGAGGAGGGAGGAGGGAGGAGATGAGGAGAGGAGGGGGGAGCAGGAAGAGGCACGGCGGCCCGACTTTTCGTGAGGCTCTCGAAGGGACGGTGCAGGGCGTGGCAATGAATCAGCTCACGCAGCTGGTTTTCCTGGTGCCACCTGGCGCCGGCGGCGAGGCCGACACTGGCTGCCCTGGAAGGGGGGGTATGGCGACCCTGATCCCCAGTGTTGTGGGGATTTCGAATGCATCGACATTTTGGGGCCAAGCTCGGGGATATACCACGCTGGGGAGAGCGTCCATCCTCGACGTGTGGTGCGTCCGACCAGCCTCCATGGGGTTCCATCACCGAGCTTCCCTCCTTGTCTGAGCGGTCGAGCTTTGCGGCCGGCACTTGCGGATTGGGGGCGAGAAATCAACTGCGAAACTTGGCTCTCCCCTCCCCCAGAGAGGTCTCCAGGAGCCCTCTGGAAATCACCGACGAGGCCAAAGGAGGTCCCGTGAGGAAAAGACCTCATGAACGTCCACGGGGGCCTCGAGAGGCCTCCGGAGGCCTGGCAAAGGCCAACCACACACACACACACACACACACGCAAAAATGTTTGTATGGTCAAGAGCTTTTGCTCGAGATGTCGCGGCGGCGGCCCAGCGACACGAAGGGGCGAACAACCTGGGCCGGCGTGGCGCTCTGCACCTCCGTGATGACCTCCCCCGCCTCGTCCGCGAAGGTGGTGCTGCTCCTGCGCTCGCACGGCGCCCAGACCTCAGGAGGCAACTTCTGGGAAGTCTTCGTAAGAGCGGCTTGGGGAACCAGCCCAGGCCAAGCCCAAGACTCAGACCGATGAGGCCACATCAGGCGGGATCAAGCGGACCCCAACGGGATGACGCCGCATCTGGCCAGCTTGCGGCCACGGACGGAAATGCCAGCGCCGATGCTGAAGTTACAGTCGGACCTGGGCAAGAAGAACGCCCTTCAAGGCCATGAGACCCTCCGCCGGCCAAAACGCACACAACATCCAAATGTACCCTCCGCAGGGCGCACAAGAACATCCAACAGACACGGAGAACATGAAGGTACCCTCCCCGAACCGACCTCGATCTTATTGGGGAGACATCAAGGTACCGATACTGCTACCCCCCTGACCTCTCTCGGGGTGCGTTCTGACCAGGATTTGGCGAATCCAGCGGTGGCGACAAGGGCCTCCCAAGAGGCCCAAAAAGAGGAAAACGGGGCCATGGGTGGCGGTATGGGTACCTTTTCTTCCTCTGACTTGTACTAGAGGCCTCCTAGATGGGGTCCGAAGATGGGGTCGGGGGATCTCGCCGCATCGCGGCAATGCATCGCCGATGTATCGGCGATGCGTCAGCCATGCAATTGCGACTTCGGCGATGCATCGGCGACGTCGACGTGAAGCAACTCGGGCTCCACATCGAGCCGCATCGGCAATGCATCGGCGACGTGGCGCGATCCTCCGACCCCGTCTACTTCGAACCAATGCCTGGGAGGCCTAGAGGGGTGGCGGTATGGCTGCCCTTTTCCTCTTCCGACTTCTACCTCGGTCCGACTGCAGATCTATAGGTCGGGCATGCCCGCCCACGGGCGGACCCGGGAAGAACAGCCGCCCCGACGAGCACGACAACTCGTCCCCGACGACTCTCTCTTGGGCGCCCGAGCTATCCGGGGTAGCTCGGGTCCGGGGCAAGTCGGGTTCGGATTCCCGAAAAACTTTGGTGTCCGTTCCATGGGAGCCTGCGTGGCCCCTGGTACTGTCCAATTTGGGCCTGATGTGGACCGGATTTGGACCAGACTTGGACCTGGATTCGTGGGGGCTAGGAGAACGAGGAGGGGGAGGGGGAACAGGAGGGGAGAGGAGGAGCAGGAGGATGGGCCAAATGCAGTCCCCACGCTGTCCACATGCAGGAAAAGCTGATCTCAATGTCGCCGCCCAAGGCTCCCATGAACAGACATCGAAAAAAACGAACCCGAGTTAGCCCTGACCCGAGTTACCCCTGATGATTCTGGGCTCTGACTTTCTGCTGTAGGGGCACGCCCGACTTGCACGTGGGCGCATCCCGACGGACCAGCTTCGGGTGCGGAAGCCAGAACTTGTCGCCCATGGCGGCCGCTGCCACTGACCGGCCGGCGGCGCGCACCAAGGGGGCGAGGAGGAGGAGCAGGAGGAGAAGGGGGAGGAGGAGGAGGAGGAGGAGGAGGAGGAGGAGGAGGAGGAGGAGGAGGAGGAGGAGGAGGAGGAGGAGGAGGAGGAGGAGGAGGGGCAGGAGGAGGAGGAGGAGGAGGAGGAGGAGGAGGAGGAGGAGGAGGCGGGCGGCGCGAGAGGCGAGCGGCCCTGCGACGAGGCCACGGGGGGGGGCCCTCTGAGGGGGGGCAGGCGGCCCCTGAGAGGGAGGCCTCCTAGATTGACTGCCTACCAGGCCACTCCGGCCCAGCACGATGTTTTCGTCCGCGGCGAGGCGGCGAACTCCGCTCCGGCGAGAAGCTGGATAGGGGCACGAACTAGCGAGTTGGCCAGCGAGCAGAGAGGGACGGGGCCCAAGGACCCAATAAATACACACAAATAATCATTTGCCCCATATTTTCCTATATTTGGGGGGTTTGCGTCTTCCCCCCCACTTCCCCTATTTTCCCATACTTTCTGGGGAGTCGACGATTAGTTGTGCCTGTGTGTTTTTTTGGTTTCCCGGAGATTGACACCAACACCAAGATCGGCGGTGTGGCTCCACCGAGGGAAGACGATCTCGATCTCGGTGATGGTGGTAATATTCTGGCTTCCAAGGTGACCGAAATATTACCACCAACACCGAAATCTAGGATCATCTTCCCCCTGTGGAGGCAATCCCCTGTGCTGGTGTTGGTGCCGATTTCCTGGCCTCCGATTTTTTCCCCTCCCGAAAGGAGGGCAAGGGGGGCGGCCGACGCTCGGAGGCCGACGAGGTCGACGAGGAGCAGCCGGGCGGGCCGCAGCAGTCCGGCGCTGCAGGGCCGGAGCGCGGCAGGCGGCCCCGCAGCCCAACACGAGGACCCGACGGGGCCCACAGTGGTTCGCCCTCCCAGTTCTGCGGGCGTACGCCTGATGCAGTATCGCCGTTCGGGCTGGTGCTGGGGCCAACGGATGATCTGTCTTGTAGTCATCGCTGCCCGCACCCCTAGTACCCCTAGTACGATTTCTCCACCCTCTACCCGAATCTCGGGTCGGGGGGAGTGCACGTCGGTCGGAAGAAGTAGGTAAAAACATGAAGTAGGAAGGCGGACTAAGTTGATTGGGTCCAGGCCCCCCCAGGGAATAACAAGCACAGCAAGAGCGTGTCGATCCTTGAAGCAGGAAGGCGCTTGAAATAGATTGGGATCTGGGGATCCAAAAATACCTACTTTCAACGACCGATGGGTACGGGCTTCAGGTGCGTTTTTGTTCCATGCTCCCTGGCCCCCCCCCCCACTGGAGATGGAGGGCACATTGGTGCCGTCGGGTTGGAACGGGAAGCGTTTGGTGGGCGGCGAGATGGGGTCCGAGGATCCAGCCGCATCGCCGATACATCGCCGATGCATCGCCGATGCATCGTCGATGCATCGGCGACCTTTGCCGTGCATCAGCGTCGCCGGCGTGGAGAAGATCGGGCTCCACATCGCGCCGCATCGACGATGCATCGGCAATGCGGCGCTACTCCGACCCCCTCTGGGAGACCTAAATAAGAAGGGCCAGAGGCGTTCAAGAAGGCTGCTTCTAAGAAGGCCTCCACCTTTCAAGAAGCACCCTGCCTTCTCAGAAGTCCGCGCCCCCCTGTGCGCGCCGCGAATGCAAGCCCAGACCTCCAATTCTGGCCTTCCGGGGGGGGCCCGTCTTCGGTATCCAGGGCCGTCAAAAAACGATCGAGAGCGCTTTTGTTATTCCACCCCCGTAACGCGGCTTCCGCAGGGGCGCGGGGGTCGGGGGGGGGGGGGGGGGCAAACCCTAACCCAAGCACGCAAGCCGCTGCCGTCGCATCGCATTCATCGGGTGTTGCCAGGAGTGCCCCTGGCCAAAGGTGCCCCCGGGATTTCCAAGGAGGCCCCCACGGCTTCCAGAGCACCGCTCACGAGGCCCAGGGGGCCCCAGGGGCTCCAGGATGGAGCGCAAAGCTTGGGGGCACCTCGGGCCAGGGGCACCTTCTGGCAACCCCCGAGTTCAGCGATCGGGGGGCCCGCACCAACCGGTGGGACTGGGCGAAGAGCCACGTGGCCGAAAGTGCGGGGAATGCTCTTGTCCATATCCTCTGCAGCTTGGAGACTCGGGCCCCCTTCACCAGAAGCCCGAGGTGCACTGGACATGGATACACCCTGCGAAATGATTCAGAAATCATGGGTTAAGAAATTCAGAGTCTCAGAACTTGAATTAAAACCCAAAATTTCCATTCAAACCTTAGGATTCACCTTGAAACATTAAGAATAATCGAGAGTCTGGCCGAAAATTTAAGCTTTCTTAAGCATCGCCTAAGGTGTACATCTGCCCCCTAGCGGCCCGATGCTTCTCCACAGCCGATGCGCCTCGGCCTGCGGTTGGCGCCCCTGCCGAGCAAAGCCAAGACGCACGGGATGTGGATCCGGCTCCCGCCCGCAGGCCGAGAAGCACCGACGCCGCCGGAGGTCTTGACTACCTACCAGACCACCCCCACCCAACCCGAAGACCCGAATTTCGGGTTGGGGGGGGGGTAAGGGTTCCACCTGTGTTTTTGTTCGACGTTTCCCGCCCCCCCCCACTGCAAATCGAGGGTGGATCTGAGCCTTCGGGCTGGGTTGGGGTGGTTTGGTGGGTGGTGAGGTCTGGGGAGGGCCCGGCGGCAGGAGCTGGAGCACGCGCGGGCGCCGGGCCGCCCGCCCCGAGCCGGGTGCCTGAGCCGGAGGCTGCGGAGCCCGCGCGCGAGCGCGCGCGCGCGCAGGAGCGAGCGCTCGCGAGGCAGTCGACAGAGGCAGATCGCGAGGGCAGCGGCCAGCGGCCCGCTCGCGAGCGCTCGGGGCCAGCGGCGATCGCGGGGCGGAGCCGACGGAGGCGCCGTCGAGTTCTGCCCTGGCCATCGCTCGGACGTCCATTCCCTGCGTTTTTGTTCGGTCTCGTGCGTGTTTGTTCTTTTTTTCGCCAGATGATCAGAGATGCTCCTCGGTGGTCCTCGCCGAAGGAAAGGCACACACGTCCGAGCGATGCCAAGCGTCAGCGACGGTCTCCCCATATTTTCCCATATTTTCTGGGCTTTTGTCTTGTCCCCCACTGCCCCTATTTCCCCCTATTTTCGGGGGAATCGACGCCTAATGGTGTCTGTGTGTGTTTTTTCCCTCCTGACACACGCGGGCCCTGGCGCGAGAGGGCACGGCGACCCCCCCCGCGGGCCGCCCTGCGCGGGCCGCCGCCCGCGCGGCACCGCCACGCTGGCGACGGGTTTGCGCCCACGCGGGAGACCTTCCCCGCGGGCCGCCTGCGCGCCGGCGGCGCGCGCAGGCGGCCACGCCTTGAGGGTCTGCGGCACGCTCACGGCTGTGGGGCCGCACCCTTTTCAACAGGTTGGACGCCCGAGTTATCCGGGGTAACTCGGGTCCGGGATAACTCGGGTTTGGATTCCCGAAAAAGGAACCCGAGTTAGCCCTGACCCGAGTTATCCCTGATGATTCGGGGCTCTGGACGCCCGAGTTATCCGGGGTAACTCGGGTCCGGGGTAACTCGGGTTTGAGTTCCCGAAAAACGAACCCGAGTTATCCCTGACCCGAGTTATCCCCGA